ATCCTGATCATTTGAATCAGGTGTGTTGGAAGAGGGACACATCTAAAACATGCAGGATTATGGCCCTCGAGGACCAGGATCGGACACCCCTGACACAGAGAGTACCTTTTATTACGAAATATTTAATCACAAAAATAATAAAAAATAATATTTTCATTGAATAGTTAGAGCTGTTGGGCCACAAAAACAAAAATATTACTGATTGACAGTGTGAACCAAGTAAAACAGAGTTCTGGAGTTTCATGATGGTTCTCAGTTATAACTAAGAATATGGAAATATATTTTTAATATGGGCATTTTAAAATTTAGTTTTAGACCCACGTTCGAAATTATTTGACATATCAATCTAAAATTTCACAGATACCTTTTAAATATCCATAGATTAGGATAATGTGTATGATGTAACTCGTAGGAGGAGATAGATTTTGAAAATGGCCCAAAAATGAGCGAAAATGGCCCCAATGCTTGCTGTTTTTTCAAAATGGCGGACGTCCCATTGGGTTTACGGAAAAGCACTGACAGACTTTTTTGTGCATCCCAACCTGCTCCATATGCCTCCAAATTTCATAGCTGTCAGCCAAACGTGCTTCTGACGGGACTCCGTTGAAACTTTCAAGGGGTTCTGTGGAGCCATTTTGCCATTGACACGCCTAATTCCTTTAAAATATAATTTTTTTCACCAGTCCTGACGTGTGTGCAAATTTGGGTGAGTTTAGGCCCTCAAAATTGTGTTGGAAAAAGAAAGTATGATAGTCACATCGTTTCCAGTCGGGTCCTTGCACTGTTAGTGTTCGGACCCTTATAACAATACATGCAAAGAAACACTGCAGAGCAATTAAGTGCATTTGGTAGAAAAAAAGCCAATAAAAGCAATTCTAACTCCAATATAAACTCTATTTCTCAAGATCTTCATTTCACTTAAGCTTTTAGACTTGCTTATTAAATAAACATGCACTAGATTGTTGACCGTTAGACAAAACAATAACACTACAATGCATTTTTCACCTGTACTTGGCGACAGCAGTCCTATAGTTTTAACCCCTGGCACGATGTGAGACTTTGTTCCTATTGTACTGATGCAACACAAACACAAAGAGCTTGTGATTGTAAACACCCTGAGATCAGATTGGCTGTAGCCGTACCTGTAGCTGTGCCGGTGGTGTAATCGGAGGATGGACCACTTTCAGGCAGCGAGCTTCCCCTCTGGCGTCTCTCCCAGAGATACTGTGAGCTGAGCGAGTCGTCGGTCCATCCACAGCGTCCTGCATCCTCAAAGTCACATTCAAACTCTTTTCCTCTGTAGCCTGAAAGGAAGCAACGGTCTGGATGACTAACAAAAACTACATGTAGATCCAAACAGGGAACGAATAGGTAATCATCTTCTGCTCTAATGGTGCAAAAGTAGGATACAGCAACAGCAGCATCCTCGAAGCATCTTCAGAACACTGCAAGCAAAATTTGTTAACATGTCACGGTAGAGGAACGTCGTTTGAAGAACGTTCTGTCATCTGAGGTCGCAATAACATCTTGAAAATGCATTTTCATTGAGATGCATTCTTCTTTTCTTATCATGGTGGAAATGGTTATTCAAAGAACGTTCTATAATGTGTTCCCTCAACAACTTCCCCGAAACGGCCTCAGAACACTGCAGGTAGAACGTTCCACCTTCGCTAATTTGACTCCTTGATAACATCTAGAAAACATTTTTCAAGTGTTGGTTTGAGAACGTTTTTCCTTTGTTATGGAATATCGTGTGAATGTTTTATAGAAGAACGTTCTATCAACGTCCCCAAAACTGCCTCAGATCGCTGCAGGTAGAATGTTCCACCTTCGCTAATATGTCACAGCCCTGGAACATGTTATAGAGAACGTTCTGTCATCTGAGGCCTTGAAAACATCTGGGTAACATTTTTCAAGTGTTGATTTGAAAACGTTTTTCCTTTGTTTTGGAACATCATGAGAATGTTTTATAGAAGTACGTTCTATAATGTGTTCCCGCGGCACAAAGGCTAATGTTCCAATTTCAATATACCAGATCACAGGAACGCTATAAGACGTTCAGTATAAAAAAAACGTTCTCTCATAACATCTGGAAAACATTTGTTGACTGTTGGTTTAAGTAAATTCTTTAAAGAATGTTTTATAGAAGGACGTTCTATAACATGTTCCCTCAACAACACCCCCAAAACATCTTCAGAACATTGCAGCCAGAATGTTGCACTTTTGGAATTATATAACATTACAGAAACGTTTTATTAAAAATGATGACAATAATAATAATAATAATAATAATAATAATAATCTAAAGCCTCGAGAACATCTGGAAAACATTTTTCGAATGCTGGTTTGTTCCTCCTTCATTCTCATAGAACATGATCTGAATGTTGATATTAAAACATTATAATAACTTTATGGGTACATTACCTGAAATTAAAAAGTTCTTAAGATGTTCTTGATTAAAACTTTATCTTTGAAGAATTACTAGAACTAGTAGGTCACCAACGTTGTGGGAACGTTCCCTGGCAGCTAGGTGGTCTGTGTCAACGTAACATCGAGCAGAACGTCGCAATATAACAAGATGATCAAGTTCAGTCCTTTTACCTCTCAGTTGTTTGAAAGTTGTGCCTCATCATTTTGAACTCACATCTCAACCTTCTGCAGAACCTCATGCAGAGAACTTACTGAGGACTCAGTTTGGAGCTGATCTTCACATCAGATTCCACATTTAAATTCCACTTCTTTTTTTTTTAAACTCACCACAGTCCAACTCGTCGCTGCAGTCGTGAGTACAGTCGCACACAAAGTCACATTTGGTCTCAGGAGACACACATGCTTGAGTCCAGGACGCTGGGAAACGAGACAAAACATCAAGATTCAGTTAATTACAGGTTCAGACCAACGTTTAATGATCTTAAATTCTATGACAAGTAAGCAAAAACTCCAGATTTGACACGTTAGCGGATGCTGTTTGGCAAACCGCTGTCAACAATGAACCATCAAACTAAACTCATTCCATTGAAGACCTTAACGTGGAACATAACAAGTAACTTCAACCATCAGAAAACAACAGCAGTGATGCAAGAAGTTCATATTTTTTCCATTGAAAGAACGTTTGCAAAACTGCACAGGTAACTGTACGTTTTCCATCTTTGCTTCTGGCTGCATGAGATCCCACAGATGACTCGACCCCAAACTCTCTTATCAGGCCTCATTAACGTCGGAGATTTACGACCCAACTAATGCGAACGGGCACAAAGGCCAAAGGGAAGTAATCAGGTTAACGCGAGCAACATGGCACCGGTCCAACCAAAGGTCTCTGATTAAAGACTCTGCTTTAATGGGCCAGCAGCTGGAAATTAGACGTGACACCTCAGCCTGAGTGCACAGGATGACGGGACTTTTTACAATGTTTTTAATGTCTTGTTATGGCACAGTCACTTTACATTTCATTACACATACTGTAGGAGCATGTGGCAAATAAAAAAACCTTCTGAGCAGTCTCCACCAAAGCTGAAACTACATCTTTAGTCAATATAGTCGTGAAAATGTGGTTTGAAAGCTGTCGATACAATTCTAAACTGGGGAAATACTGAAACTTAACACATGAATGCATCTCGAAACGAATTTATTGTTGGTTTAAACGTAGACAAAAGCGCATTCTTTGTATTTAGCTTTAGTTGTAGAGCAGAAACTATCGTCAGGTTACTTAAAACCCCAAATTTTAGATACAGACAGAGGACAGGATCTCAGAGGTAAGAAGTTTTTGAACAAGTAGAAAGTTTGGGAAACCTTAACACACTTTTTTCCAACAATCCAACTGTTGTGGCTCCTTTACAAGTCTGACCCCATTTTTTTTCCCATATATGGATTACAATAAACCAAACACTGGTTTCAATGAGACCAGCAGCGTTATTTCTACATAAAAGTGTAATTAAATACCTGTGTTTTCTTACCAAACTGTAGAGTCAGCAGCAGGAGGAGGGCTGAGCTCCCCACGTGGAACATCTTCTTCATTCCTCGTCCACCGGATCAGTGCGAAGCTCTGAACACAACCTGGAGACACTTTTCTATCTGACTCTGATCTCTCAGAGGAAGAGATAACAGCTGGACTTTAAGATCACCCAGCATGCAACTGCAACCAACAATCATAAAGCAATTTCCTTCAAATGGCAATTTTCCAGTGTAGACATCCGTACATTGTGCAATTAGTTATGAAGGCACCAGTATGCAACATTTTACAGCTGTGTTAAACTTACAGTGCAATATATTTGATGTTAACTAATTACAGTGACAGTGTTTTTGCAGGTAGTAGTTTAGCAAATACTATGACATGTCCAAAAGTTAGAATAGTATGAAAAAGTTCCTTTATTTTGGTGATTTAAATAAAAAAGGTAAACTTTCATATATTAAACACACCTGAAGTGAAAAATTTTTAGGCTTTTTTTTAGTATTCATTTTGATGATAATGATTTATAGCTCATAAAAATCTTGTTTTATCAGAGAGATATAACTAATAACATAAAATAATAAAGGTAATAAGGGTCATTCTTCACCTGTCACTGTCACAAGAGATATTTTCATAACTAATTAAAGGTACAGCCCAGTTAACTTCACTCCCTTGCAACAAAAATAAATATAAAACTACGCAAGATAGACGAGAACCATAGTTATCAAGTTCATCCTCATTTTTTGTTAAATCAGGTTTTAAAAAAACCCTCCAGTCAAAAATCAAATATATCATGGACAAAAATCCATTCAATCAACTGAAAAACAACAAACAAATAAATCAGAAACTGAAAAAATAATTCTATTTCCTGGGTAAATGTATGTAAGACAAATGTTTCGCCTAGCTTAGCATTAAGACTAGAGCTACATAGAAACTGCTAGCCTTGTTCCAAATGTGACAAATTAATTGATATGTTTAATCAATAGATGTCTTAACTCACAGTCGTGTGTATTTCACACATATACTGAAAATTAAATGTTAAAATTAGATAAATAAGGAACAGATTCTCCTTCAGATACTATTTCTTGAGTAACTGCTTCTTGGCAAAGTTACAGAAAATGTAAAAAAACAGCCTTTTCTTTTTCTTTTGGACATACTGGCAGCTAGCTTGCTACCAACAACTTTTAATATGTAAAAACACTTTTTGCATAGTTGGACAGAATAATTTTCACTGTTGATGTAGCTAGGCTGTCACCTCCTGCTTCTGGTGTTTATGCTAAGCTAGGCTAAAATTACTTTTCCTCACCTTTCTCTACAGCTCATTATAGCACTTTTTTAAATGTTAGTTTAATGTCTTTCAGGTTTTTGTTGTTGTTGTTTTCTGTAATGGCAGGCAGCAAGTTTTAGCAAAAACATTTTACTTTTACATGACTCACAAGCACCAAACAGTGACTTCTAAGTCAAGTTAGCAACTAGCTGCTAAATTTAAGCAGCTAAAGACATTTTTCTCAGGTGTTGAGATAAAGAATCAAAACAAAACTTAAGTGGCAAAAATTGAACTTGTATTTGACTACTACTAACAACACAAGACTTAAAATGAATGCTACTGCTTCCCGACTGTGTTCGCATGCAACTGTGAGCAAACACATTAATCATATTTATAACTTTAGAAAGTTTTATGTCAGTGCTGTATCAACAATTAGGAAGTAGCTCAGCAAAACAAATCAATTTATGCGTACCTGCTACGTTCTTATCAGTATAATTTAAAATACTTCAGCACAGCGCACGTCTTCAAGATCACCAGGTTCGCTTGCCGTAATCTGCCGGCATTAAAACGAGGCCACAATAAACAGCAGTTTACAGTTGGGAGGCCGGCTGGAACACGGCTGCTGTAAAAAGTCAGATAAGCAGCGACATGTGGCGTTTTCACGTCTCTTACCGGCAATGGAAGGAACGTACACGGCTTAAAGGGCAGATTTGAGGAAACATTTATGAAACAGACGTCACAACGAAGCATGTAAGGGTCAGTGTTTAATATATCTTGGGGATGAGGTCAAATTGAAGAGACTATGTGACTCTAAAACAAGTCAGTGAGTGATGGTCCCTCTGCAAAACAGGTTTCAATGTTGAAAACTTGAATACCAAACTACACTGTAAGGGGCTTTTTAGATCTAAATAGAGTACAAATGTGGGGAAAAAGACCCTTATTTGACACTTATTAACTCAATTAGTTCAATAAAAAAACTATGAATGCTAATTAGTCCTGTCAGTGCATGTAGAGCTTAACTGTGTATCATTAATGTGGTTCTGATGATTGCATAAAAGTACGACAGCAGTCCAGGAGAAATAAAAAAATGTATCCAGGAAAGACTCAAAGTCTCAGTTCATGTCAGTATCCTTCATTGTCCCAGGTCACCTCGTAGTCTGGGTACCGAGCCTTGAGCTTCTCAGTCGACACGGCGTGGTTTGCTCTTCCAAATCCCTGTAAAGAAAAGAAAAACAGATTTATAGTCCAGACGTTTCTTCATTTTTTTTACTGTAACATAAAGTTCTGCACCTCTTTGGAAACAACACAAACATGGACGGGAACTCAAAATGGTCTAGTATGCAGCATAATAAAGCTAAAATGCCAGAAATTAAGAATTCCTTACATTAGTTATTTTACAATAATGCAAAAAAAAAGCAAAAAAGACCCCCAGAACTTGTACAACATTTTCCCAGTTGCCTACTCGTGTTGCCAAAATGGGAACAAAATGGCCATAATAAGGATGTACTGCTTTGTGTAAACACAGTCTGCAGTTGAGTCCAGTTCTGACAAAAAATCCCCAAAAATGGCTTCATGGTTGTGTGGTAGTTTGTTTTTTTGTGCTTGTCTTTACAGAATTTGTTGCAAATGCTATATTTATGGCCAATTCTTACAAAAAAAAAAAGTGATATTGATGAAAAATGAATGATTTGAACAATTTTCTAGTCTTTTTTTTCCGATTCAAGTCTTTGTTTTTACAGCTTCTGGTTCTGATAAATGCTGTAAAACCTTTGAAACCGTCTGACAGGTTTTGGTGTTCAGATGGTTAAAGCATAAAAAAACAATCATTTGAATGCAGGATGCTCTCACCATGGAGTATCCGTACACGTGGATCTTCTTGGCCTGTGCATCGTGTTTGATCCTCCCTCCTCCGATACACTCACAGTCCAGGTCCCCGCTTCTTTCCAGCTCCTCTGAAACCTTGTCGTAGATGTCAGCTGCAAGAAAGACGCATGAGTGATGCATAAACACGGAGCTTTACTAACAAAATCCATATCAAAATACGAATTAAAGCATCAATTAATATAGATTTCTGTAAAAGAGCAACTGTGAGTTGAACTGTAGCTGCACAAAAGCCCGTTTATTGATAATCTGAGCTGGTTGATGTGAATGTGGATGAAGCTGGTCGATCACATGTTGGATAAAACTGTGTAAAACTTGCGCATGACAATTAATATTCCTGCAGTTTTCGATGGAAGATCATTTTCCGCGTTAAAATTAAATCACAACACAAAAGAACACAAGCTGAGGAGATCTTTTACGTTCCAGGATTCTCCAGCAGAGAGCAGCGCCGTCCTGCCAACATTATATCGTACTGATACTAAAAGCAAAGATCTGTCATTTTAATGTCTTCATCACTGAGGACTGAGGGGGTTGGGAAGCATGCAGAGTCGTGGCTGTCATGGTCTCCTGGTGGGAGCAGTGCAATTAAGGAGAAGCAGATCCAATCATCCTGAAAACTACATGACTGAGGGAAAGGAAAGGTGGAGGTTGGATGGAAGTGAAAGAAATGGTGGAAAAAAAGAATCAGTAAATCTGCATCTATGAGCCTGGATGAGGAAAGAGCAGGACCTGGATCAGAAAATGTCTCTCAAAGCCCTGCACCACTTCTTTATGCAGCTGCCACAGCTTAACGCCATTGGCCCGGAAAAGAAATTACAAACAATCTTTCATCCCATCTGCAATAACTGCCCTTAATAAGAACACATAGACTGCCCTTTGGTGTGTTTGTGTTTTTTCTTTAAAATGTTGTTGAATGTGTTGTAGTGAGTGAGCCTGGGTGTGGTTCTTAGTTATGTTTTAATGCTTCAGTGAGCCGTTTTAAAGATGAATTTCTGTTTCTACTCAAGATGGACAATAAATTATCTATCTATCTATCTATCTATCTATCTATCTACCTATCTATCTACCTATCCAATCTGAGGAGGAGGAACACTGGAGAACATCCTGAGCTCCTGCCTGGAAGCTTTAGGACCAACTTTAGCTGAATAGCATCACTTTTCCTGTTTACTTTAAACAAGCCCTTGGATATATGTGACGTAATTGTGCAGAGGATTGTCGGTCCTGCACAATCTAACCAGCTCTAGAAGAACATCTGGCTATTTTTTACATACTGCATTTAACACACCACATATTGGAACCTACTAAATCATTTCCTGTCCTACTATATAGTATGAAAGTATGGATATTGAAAAAAGAGCAGAGTAGGAGTCGACCAATAGGTTTTTTTCTCGGCCAAAACTGATAATGGTTCAAGGAGATCAATAACTGATATTTGAAACAAATACATGTGTAGTACAAATGAAAATCTTGCTTCAAAATTTACAATAACGTTCAACATAAAACTGGGTCGAGACGCCTTTTGTTATTCATGGTTTTCATGTGTTTAACTAAAAGTGAACTTTTAAAAAGTGTTAATTGGTTGATACTAACAACTAAGTTAGCATTTAACCAATCAGATAGTGATGTGGGCGGGACTTTGTGCTCCAACACACAAAGATAGAAACTACAGATGGAGAGAGTTGGTTGCAACGCAGCGCATTTTTACAGAACGTTATTTTATTGTGAATTAAATCAAAGACTGATAATTGGAAAAATCCTGGATATCAGCTCTGATAATCGATCGATCTCGAGTCTTCAAAAAAAACAACACTACGGTTAACTCTAGGCTTCTGTACATCACTGATGATGCATTCAGGGGCATCTAAAGATGTATTTTATGTATCAGACAATGGAAGTCTGGACAAACACATGCCTCCTTGACTTAGGTGCAACACTTGAAGATTAATAGAAATACTAAATAAAGTCATTCTGCAGGTGAACTAGAGCACTCAGATGCTGCTGTAGTTTGAAGAAGTCAGACTGTTTAGTTCACGCTGGAGGCTGAAGACACACAGTCGAAGCAGAAGCCGACTTCCACAGCAGATAAACTCTGACACTCTTCTGCACAGACATTAAAGTCAGAGGTTAAATTAATCCAGAGCCAACTGGAGCAGAACTCCGCGTCCTCACATCCAAACCGTGTCCTGTCAGAGCTCCTTTGGTTTTACAGCATCACACAAATGTTGAAATCTGCTTTCAGACGACGTCTCAGGCTGGATGCAGGATGTCGTCTTCTTTATTTATGTGACATTACGAGACAGCCGGAGCATAAAACACAACCATTTAAACCGGTGACACAGCAGCACTAAGTCCATTAATTATTTCCATCCTCTGATGTGTCATTATGATCTAATGGAGCCTAATTAGCCTAAATACTTCTTAAATGAAAAAAGGTGACCTGATGTGCACAAATTCACAGTTCCTACAGTGAAAACATGAAGAAAACAGTCAAGCTCTAAATGAATCCAACAATTTTTTATTATGAGTTACAACTAAAGTTCAAATGCAGGGTACTCTGGAGAACCCCAATATTTCTAGTTGTGTACAAAGTGGATCATTAACGGGGAGTTTTAATATTGCTTAGAGATGTTAATTGCCCTTAACAATCTGATTGATTAAAAATATATTCACCTTTGGTAAAGGGATGGTGAAGCTTAAGACATCAGTCGACCAAATGCATTGAAGTTAAAGGAGATGATGTTAAAAAATAACGTAAGAACAACAGGTCAAGTCTATATATGTCATCAACACTGTTGTTTTTGATGTACAGTACTCAACAAATGTATTAGACCACCAACCAATGTCAGGTTTATGCCACAGCTGCCATAAATTAACAGCGTTGGTAATGAGCACAATCATTGTTTATGTTTCTGTGATGGTTAAAACAGCAGTATGTAGAAGATCTTTAACCTAAATGATATTTTTTAATGTTAAAATATGAAATGAAATGAAAAATACTTTATTTATCCTAGAAGGGAAATTCAATATGATTCTTATTATTAGCCATAAATTTCCAAATTTACTGTTTTACAAAAAAAAAAAGAAAAAACAGTAAAGCACATTATTATTTCTTGATTAACACGTCAAATTATAGAAAAATTAGTTCAGCGGCTGAACGTTAAGCTTGATTCATTTCTCAGAGAAGTCCAGTGAGTCGGCTCAGATCCAGATTCTGGTATAAAAAGGTGAATTCAGTTTGAAATTCCTCATTCTTGTTTAAAACAGTAAAACGTAGAGAGCTGAGTCCGAATCAAAGCACTCGGTGCTGAATAAATTAGACAGGTGGTCTAATAAGTTTGTTAAGCACTGCATACATACAGAAACCAACAAGCTGAGTCTTATTTTATTGTACACAGACAATTAAGGCTTTCTGGTTCATGGTGTAGTTATATATCTGTGCTGGACAATTAAAATATACTTTCTGGAAACAAACATGTGTAACTTTCATGAATTTGCTAAATTAGCCCAATATAGGACTTTTAGATAGCTTTCGTGCTGATTTTATTTTGAAAGGTCACCGGAAATGTTTGTAAATGACCAGCTGCTCTTTATAAAGTTTTTAAAAATTTGAGTTAGGTAAGAAAATCTAACATTTCGTGGGATGTAGCATTAGGTTGCATGAGTTTTGAACAATAAAGTATCAGTTTATATGGACCATGTTCAGTGGCTCTGTTCTGGTTCCGGTTCCGGTTCTGAGGACTGACCGTGGTACTCGGCCCAGCCGTATCCCCGGACTATGTCCACCTCTGCGTCGTCGTCCGTCTCCTTGCTGTGGACCCGGATGAGGACGTATTTGAAGACTCCGGACGGGTCGATGTCCGCCAGCGGGATGTTGGCCATGAGGGCTGCAGCCTTGGTCTGGGTGCACATCTCCAACCTGCAGGACAGCGACACGGCAACCGGCAACACGGCAACCAGCAACACGGCAACCAGCAACACAAGGACCAGCAACACGGCAACCAGCAACACAAGGACCAGCAACGCAACTTATCTCCTCAAGCTCCCTGACTTTCTATAAGCAGCTCAGTTTAATCAAACTAAACGGACAAACAGTGAGGTTGTGACAGAAAGCAGCTCCTCTGTTGTCACATCTGGTCCGCCATGATACAACTACGACATTTCCGCTGCCAGCCTTCAAAATA